TTCGGGGCGACTGGAATCGATAAGGGAATCGTTTGCAAAAATGGCAAACAATTCCAAGGAATTGAAACAGTGGGAACCGGTTCTCAACAAGAACCGGTTTTCGATACCCATCCCTATTCCAGAGTCCTGCATTTGGGTTCTATTCTGCCTGCTACACTGGCAAACCACGACATCTAGAGCTCAAAAAATAATATTAGCTGTGTCAAACTGCACAGAGCACACGAAGAGGACAGGAGGTCCCCGTGCAAGACTCGACACTGCTTCTATAAAGCTCCCAGTGTGATATGAAGCTTTGCAAATAACCATTTATTCACAGAGACAAATCAAAGACATACCTAACTTTGCCCACCCCTCTTGACTCCATTCCTTAAGATCAATTCAACTAAACCTCTCTTGTCCACTTGAACATGTGGGTTCCTTACAGTGAAAACAACTGCCAAGAGCTGAAGAAGGAGACAGAAGATAAGATTCAAACGCTAGTTGCTGATCATAAAACCAAGGTAACTTACAGCCAACGCTCTTTCCACAAAGCTATTATTAGCTGTGAGGATGACAAGTATCTTAGCTGTGAGTTATTAATGCGCTCGTGTGTTCGCATACAGGTAAAGGACATCACAGCACAGCACACCAAAGAGTGGTCAGAGCTAATCAGTAGTCACAGCAGTGAGGAGCAGGAGATGAAGGACAGCCACGTCACCCAGCAGTGTGAACACCTCAAGAAGCTCTTGGCCACTGTCCAGGAGCAGCAGACCATGCAGCTTAAACTCATTCATGAAAGGTGAGAGACCCACACAGCTTGCTCACACACATAAGGATGGATTACTGTGAGTGATCAGACATGATCGTTTGGGGCAGCAACTCTGAGATTTTATTGCCAAAAATTGGATGCAGACAACTTGTCTTGTTCCACAATGCAGGCAGAGCAAAGAGATGCGTGCCAACCAGGCTAAGATGTCCATGGAAAACAGTAAAGCCATCAGCCAGGACAAGACTATCAAAAATAAGGCAGAGCGAGAGAGGTGGGTCACGCGCGTGATGTAATCGTTCAGTCGTTGTTTTGGGGCTCTTAAGCACTCATTGTAACTTCATGTTGTGATGGTTTTGTTCCGCTCTGAAGGAGAGTGCGGGAGCTAAACAGCAGCAACACCAAGAAGTTCCTGGATGAGAGGAAGAGGGTAGGATGTTTATTTTTTATTCCTCAGCTGAAGAGCACTTCAATCATTATTCCTTTAGCCTGTGCACTGGATTAACATTGTTGGAATTTAAATACAAAGTGTAATATCCCTCAGTCTGTTCACCCTGCTGCCATTGAGCAAGTGATAAAGAAGTTGTTGCTCCTGCAGCGCTCAACCTCAGAGTAGTTTCTTTCCTCAGGCTGAGACAGCCTAAGTCTTTCTTGTTTGTGACGACATCAGAATTTTGTTTTACAACCCAGTGTTGCATAATGATCATTAATCTTGAATCAAATGCTTAGATGGCTGCAAACATTACAAATGACTCCCCCTACTAAAACATATTAGTTTATTGCCTTTGTCTCCATGTTTCTGCAGCTGGCTATGAAGCATCAGAAGGAGATGGAGCAGCTAGAGAAAAACCAGAGAGAGCAGCTGGAGAAACTGGAGAAGTTCAATGAGCAGGTACATAGAAGGAAATTACCTTTTACTGCCACTACAGTGTAAATTGATCTAGATAGCAGTAACTGTGATTGCTGTCACCTATCTAAGCTGTTAACACTGTTGTTTAAACCCAGCATTTAGTATCGGACCATATCCTGCTCATATCAGAACATTCCTCAGTTTAAGGAGCTTCTTGCTTTACCGGCTTAGAAAGTATAAATGACACTCAAGCTTTGGGACTAGTTAAATGTTCTAGATACATTTGTCATAAGTTTACAT